ACTACAAAACAGATCAAAAAACTTTTTTTACTGATTAACAGCTGAATAGCCAACTATCAAATAACAAAATGTGTTTTACATTTGTACTACGTCTGCAAACCTAAAAATTCAACTAAAGCCATATATGTGTGAAATCCGCAATTACTTAGTTGCCGAGGCAAATTGACCGTACTTTTGTGACACCCACCAGCCAATCAGGAGTGTGTATGAAAATTAACCCAACAAAGAATGCCATGGCGATGATGCAGGCATTTCACACCGCCCCAGCCGCTCTGGGCCTCTAGGCAGTGTGGGAAGGCGAAAAGGTGGCTCCAGCCAGAGTGAAGGCAGTGCCGGCAGCCAGGGGAAGCAAGGCCCATTCTTGCATGAATCTTCGTGCATTGGGCATTTAGTAAATTTAATAAAAAATAGAAAAAGACAATAGAACTGTATTCTGCAGCTGCATCAAATAAAACATGACAGTTCAGTCACTGAGTTTGTTCTTATCAAGGAAAGAACAAAACCCATAATGGGCCAGCAAAACCAAGAATGACAACACAGGCTGAGAAAGGGGATCTGCAGTGTAGTGAGGGGCAGGTCTAATGACCACGACAGTGGCTCAGAGGGGATGAACCAGGTCCTCCTAGAATGAGCATGGGTCCCCACTTCTAGCATTCAGTTGGAGGTTTCTTGATTTGGAAACTCCCAACAGCATGGTGGGTCATACATGAATCGTGGGGGCCTCTTTCAAGTCTATATTTTGGGATAATAAAAGTACTTATTTCATCTAGTTATTGTAGGATTGAAGGAGAATAACACGCAATTACCCTTTGAGCCAGTCTATGTAGATATGGGATTTGATTGTAAGGCTTTTAAATATCCTTTTAAGAGAGGCAGAATCCAGGGGCCTTTTGCTTATCTTTAACAGTTAATACCCCATATGGAAATGGATTTGAAAAGACCCTAATTAATCCCAGGGAGAATGACCGTAATAATTGAAGAAGTAATATTCATACCTAAAGGCTGAGAAGGAAATTGGAATAAACTGAGACTTATTATGAAAAAGGTGAAAGGAGAAATGATAAAGGCTCCTCAAGTGTAGTGGAAAGAGTGTTTTGGGATAAGAGAGACAATAATTTGAATCCTTTCTCTCTTATTTCTTAACTTTTGATCTTGATTTGTCTATTTCTCTGAGCATCAGAGTTATTTATTGAAATGTGGAATTTTCCTCATAGGATTATTTATTGAAGGATCAAGTGAGATAATTTATATAAAATATTTGATAATAGTAAGACTAGCTAATATATTAATACTTACTATGTACCTGTTAAAAATTTTATATGAATTTTTTTCTTAATCCTAACATGGCTGTGGGCAAGTACTCATAATAAATCTTAGATTCCCTGTAAAGCACTGGCTAAAGTAAGTTATCAGTGATAAGAATGTTAGGAAGATACTGAGAAATTGGCTAAAATGGTAAACTTTTTGTAGCAGGTAACATGCCCCAAATTAGCAAATCTGTGATATTAAAGATATGAAAGTTGCTGATAAATTATGCAGATGATGCAAGAATAGAGAAACAAATGTACCTAAAACAAAATTACTGATGATTGTGGTAGTAGCTATTTCACCTCCTTGCCCCACTGAATAAGCTATGTGGAAGTGATAATAATCCAATGAGATACTTATTGATTATTTACTCAATAAAGCATTTGATGAGAAGATTTTCCTAATGTTCTTGTACATGTTAACAGTGATAATAATAAAATAAAGTTAGCGACGATGATGATAAGAATAGCTTACACATATATAGTGATTACCATACAAAGGGCATGGTTCTAAGAACCCTACTATGTTAAGCTTATTTAATCTCACAACTCCATGAAGTTTTTCACTTTTATGTATTAAATAAGTGTCTCACTTTTATGTACAAAAACAGAGATCTAAGTTAAGTGGCTTGCTCAAAGTCACACAGCCAAATAATGATTCCCATTCTCACAGTTGTGAGTCCAGCTGTGTACCAGGTGTTTTGCACATATTGCTAATCTTCCACCAAACAGAGAGATGAAATGGGGCTTCATTTAGTAACTGAGGTCACAAAGCTAAGAGGTGGCAAAGCTGGAATGCTAATTCATAGTACCAGATTCCAAAGGTTTCTTCCCCCCCTCCTCCCCATGATTGGTTCTTTTGACCAATCATGAAAAAACAATGAACAATAACAAAAACAAAACAAAAATCTCCCAAATCTCTGCTCCTTCCCTCACATACCTACTGGCAAAGTTTTTAAACTCTGGAGGCAAAGGCTGATAAAAGTGATATAAAATGTTACAAATGTGAGGCTAAGAATGACCTTACATTTTATCCTTAGCATTTGTAGATGAGAACTTGGGAGAAAAATTTATACAAAGCTCAGATGAATGGTGTGATTTCCACAACCTCTAAGCCTGGCCAAGAAAACTTTTCTCTTTGAAGGCCGACGTAAGATATTTCAGTACCTAGAGAACCTTAATTTAACAACAAAGCCTAAAGTTTCAAAGTACATTATAGGACATAGCACAGGCTTAAAAACTATTAAAAGTACTTTCAAAAGGTAAAGCATTTAGAACATAAACAAAAGACAAGGTTAATAATTCTAAGTGAAATTAATTGGTGAGTTAGACATGATATTGTGAAAATTAGAAGGTAAAAGACATAAAATTACAAGAGGAATTTTAGACTGCCAAGATGTGTAAACAAAGTAGAATTGGAGAATGGAGGGACAGCAAGCCAAGTGCTAGAATTATTATTCTCATTATAAAGGAGTTCAAAGGTTTCTTGGTTAATAATAGGAATGAAAAATGGAAGTAATGAAAACAGTATTGTATTAAAATATGTTAATATTAAAAATGTTAGAGTGGGCCAAGGCAGCTAGACTCATTATCCCTATTAAAAGGAGTTCAAAGTGAATGGTAGTAGTAAAAATAGTTGTAGCTGTATTAAAATGTGTTGATGTAAAAGAAAATAGTCTGAAAATGTATTAGATTAATTAGAGCTGTTTTCTGGCTTCATTCAAAAAGAAAGAAATGGTTTTAGAAATCATTGGTTTCCACTAGTTCTTGTTCTCTCTCAAATAGGCGCAGACACACTCTACTCTCATTCAAATTCTTAATGGAATCTGAGAAGGGAGATGAACTCATTTGAGTGATAAGAAAGTTATCCAGCCTCAAACTCAGAAACTTCAGTAACGCTGAACACTTGACTTTTATCTGAATGTATTTCATGCACAAAGGTAGATGTGAAGCTTCTAAATATTTTCTTTTACTTTTTTCCCTTGAGCTTAATTATTGATCCTATCCAGGAAGTGCACAGGTTTATGCGAGTTGGTGAAAAAATTTTTAAAAATATATATATTTTATTGATTTTTTTTACAGAGAGTAAGGGATAGGGATAGAGAGTTAGAAATATCAGTGAAGAGAAACATCGATCAGCTGCCTCCTGCACATACCCTCCTGGGGATGTTCCTGCAACCAAGGTACATGCCCTTGACCAGAATCAAACCTGGGACCCTTTAGTCCGCAGGCCGATGCTCTATCCACTGAGCCAAACTGGTTAGGGCGAGTTAGTGAAAATTTAACCAAATAGTATTCCATTAAAAAAATTGAGATTCCAACACTTTAATTTATTCCTATTATCTTAGAATGTCTTATTGATATTGAGATTATTGGATGGAACCTATAGCTGCGCTGTGATCGATAGAACAATGACTATTGAGTTTTTCAAAGAGTGCTCACCTAGTGAGACAACATAGCTGACTCAGCAGATAGTGTGACGGTGACATAGCCAAGACTCTCTTCTACATTTCCCTCCTATTTATTTAATGGGGCTTTGTATGTTTCAACAATCACTTTTATTTTTTCTTGACTCAGAATAAGTGGTTAAGAGTGGAGTAGAGAAATGTGTTCCACCATCATTCCGGGTCTGTGAGCTTGGATTGAACCTCTTTAGGCTCACGTTATGACAACGTGTTTCTCTAGGACCAGAGTGGCATAACAGTAAAATTGTATGTTCCTCTGTGTGTGTGTGTGTGTGTGTGTGTGTGTGTGTGTGTATGTGTGTGTGTGTGAATTAATGATTGGTTGTCTTTTTTTTTTAATAGAATTGAAATGATTTAAAAAATGATATATTCACTAGCAATGTGTGTGTGTTTTTTTACTTACTTTACAAAGTGGTTTTTGAGGCACTGTACAAAAAGAAGATAAAGCTCAAGGGAATAAAAATTCGTGAGGAAATGAGGTGGGCCCTAAAGTCCATGTGTGAGGGCTAAAAATACATGGATACTTTTCCCCTCACCTCATAACTTCTGGCTGGGCCCATAACCAAATTAAGAGAGACAGATTAACAGGAGAACAAGTTTAATACTTGCGCATGGGGAATTCACATAGACGTGATCATTCCATGAAGATTCCAAAGATAGTGAGGAAACAACATTGGGTATCTAAGACATTTTGGACAAAGAACAAAGAAGGATGAAGCAGGTAATAGATTTCAGAAGTGAGAATGGGATATTTGAAAACACATGGCAGGAAAATCTTTGTAGGCAACTCAGAAACAGTGGGATACAGGGAGTATCTAGCTAACAGACACCCACCAGCCTGAATCCCTCATGTTTACTATACTTAATTTAAATTAGGCTAAGGCAGCATCCTAAGATCTCCTTCCTAAAGCAGATTCCTCTGTCTGAATCTTAGGCAAGAAAGGAAGAAGGGTCCAAGGTTCTTTTTTGAGTCCTTTGTTTCTTAACAAACACTTAAAATCAATATCTCCCAAAGCATATTCATGGTGGCAGAATATTGGTCCCTTCACATGTTAGCAGGCCCTATCTGCTTAGACTGGCGATGCATTCAGCTACTGGGGTTATTAAAATAAGGAGCAACCAGCTAATAAGAAAGAACTTGACCATAGGTAAGCATGAAAAGGCAATGCTAAATTCTGATTGTGTTAGGGAAATGAAGGCTCCAGGTGAATGGAAGTGTGTGAGGAAGTGTTGCCAGAGGAAATGGGAAATGATTCCAGCCTTGCTTTTCTATTTACCACTAAAGTTAGGGAGGAGAGTCCGCAAAGTCCTGGAGTCTAGGACCTAACTGGTGGTGAGGTGTGTATTGTAGGAAATTATGGCTCAGATTATAGTATGTTAAAAAAAAAAAAAAAAGAGCTTAAATACGAGGTAATGTTTTCAGGAGCTGAGGAGTCACAAAGTGAAAAGGGATTTTATTGCCCTCCAAAGGAAATAGACAGATAATCAGATGGAAATGTCCAGGTAAATATGGAATGTAACTTGGGTGAAGTTAGAGCTTCAGATTAGAGATATCTGGAAGGGAGTTATTAAAGGTAGGAAAAAAGTAGAATTTGTTAAGCAGTGATGACTAAATTCTAGGGTGTTAAGGTGGAAGTTCTCAGTTAGTTAAAGACTGGGAGGGAAGGAGCCCAAGAAATGAGTAGAGAGCAGCAAGGATTGAGAACCAAGAAAAGCCAGTGGGATAAACATTTAGGGGAATGAGCCTCTCAGGAATCAGGGTTGGGTAGCCCTGTATCTGATGCTTGGTGCCCAGGAGGTTAAGAACTAAAGAAAAACATCTTTAAGTCAACAGGAAGCAACTGAACCTCTAAAGAAAGATTTGATTTTTCTTTAAAAAGTTGGGATTTGGCCGAAGCCAGTTTGGCTGAGTGGTAGAGCATCGGTCTGCAGATTGAAAGGTCCCAGGTTCGATTCCGGTCAAGGGCATATACATTGGTTGCGGGCACATCCCCGGTAGGGGGTGTGCAAGAGGCAGCTGGTCGATGTTTCTCTCTCATTGACATTTCTAGCTCTCTATCTCTCTCCCTTCCTCTCTGTAAAAAATCAATAAAATATATTTTTTTAAAAAAGTTGGGATTTGGAAGTCAGTGGGTAGGAAGAAATGCAAGGAAGAAGAGAGGAGGGTAGAGTCCACTCAATTAAGAATCCTATCTAATAAAAGAGAAACATGCAGATGGACTGCACCTCCACTATTCCCACCAGCCAATCAGAGCTAGTATGGAAATTAACTCAACCAAAATGGCGGCTACCATGGAGCTGGAGCGAGCAGGAGGCTTGGGTTGGCCACGGTAATGGAGAAAGCCAAGCTTCCCACCCACCCTGGCTGACCCTGGCCTCTGATCGAGGCTACAAAGTTTCAATTACAGAAGATAAATAAATCCCAGATACCTGCTTTCAGCCAGCCCTGGCTTTTGCTCAAGGAGGTGCTAAAAAAAGAAAAAAGTAAAAAGGAGGGGCTGGGAGCTTGAGTCGTCAGGGGCTGTGGCCAGCTTGAAAACAGCCATCAGCCCCTCACCCAGGGTGGCCACCTCCTCATGGGGTGAAGGTTCCCACTGGGGGGCTTGGCCAGCCTGCAAACAGCCATCAGTCCCTCACCCAGGCTGGCCAGGCCCTCCAACGGGCCCCCTACCCTGATCTGGGATACCCTTCAGGGCAAACCACTTGGCCCCCATCCATGCACCAGACCTCTATCTATACTATATAATAAAAGGGTTATATGCTAATTAGACTGGGAGACCTTCCAGGAGACCTTCTGGACATTCTTTTGAATAAAGCCATGGTGGTGAGGCCAAGGTAGAGGTGGTTAGAGGCCAAGAGGGGAGGGAAGTTGTGGGTGATCAGGCTGGTGAGGGGCAGGGCCATTGGGGGTAAGCAGACCAGCAGGGGGGCAGTTGGAGGCAAGCAGGCCAGTGGAGAGGGAAAGTGGGGGCAAGCAAGCTAGCAGGGGAGGCGGTTGGGAGTGAGCACACTGGTACAGGAGACAGTTGGAGGTGATCAGGCTGGCAGGGGGTAGTTGGGGGCGAGCAGGCCAACAGGTGGTATGGTTAGGGGCAATCAGGCAGGCAGTCAGGCAGGTGAGCAGTTATGAGCCAGCAGTCCCGGATTGCAAAAGGGATGTCCGACTGCTGGTTTAGGCCCAATTCATGTAAACTGGCAGTTGGACATCCTTCGAGGGGTCCCAGATTGGAGAGAATGCTGAGGAACACCTCCCCACTCCCGTGCACAAATTTCGTGCACCAGGCCACTAGTTTGTAATAAAAAAGGAGGGAAATAGTATAGAAGCTTTCTGACCCAGGGAAATGAAGCATTTTTGAATCACTCATCTCACATATTTTGCCTATCCAAGTACATAACGTCCATGGAAAGGTAAAAGTAAATATTTTCTTTGGGAGACTTTTGGGATATCCACATGCGGGGATACATCCCAGTTCTGCTTTAATCCCCAGCTTGATGGGAACTCTGGGTTTCTCTTTTCTTCACCAGCTGAATGTGTAGTTGCACTGCCAGCATGCCTCAAATCTTCACCAAAAGGCCTGATAACCAAGCGATTTACGCAACAACTGAATAGCTCAGATGATGACAAGCAGCGTGACAAGTTGGAATTAAGTTGTGGGAAGTGCCAGTAACTTGCATTAGTTGTGGGTTTCTGGTTGTTGGTTGTTGCTTTTTGTGGGTGTGTGCGCACGCGCGAGTGTATGTGTGTGTATTGGGGCATTACCATAGTAACGGTGGCTTTTTAGCAAACATTGAAAATGCCTTCTGTTTTGTGTGCTGTTATGTGAAAGTTATTCTATGTTCTATATGACAGAAGTTTTTACTTATCTTTTTGTAAATAATTTAGCTGTAGGAGAAAAGTTAATTTTTGGACATCTCTCCATTTCATTCTGGATTCAAGAGTTTAAAAGTATAAACATTTTATCTTTTGACATCTGATTTATTTAAAGACTGTTATTCTTTGACTAAGCGGTTGCCCGATTCCTTGTTTTCTTAATTTGTTTGATCTGTTTTAATCTTTTGTTTTAGTTTCTGAATTCCTATTTCTAAACGTTCTAAAATGGTGCATTCAGATAGTTAAAAAATCCCTTGTTTTACCCCCTCTAAACTGTTATCTCACTCACAGCTTTATCATATTTAACAAATTCTTCTGTCGTGGGAATTTATAAACACAATCCTTGGTATTAAAAGAAATCCAGCATCTGAAAACTAGTTTCATAGGATTACAATTTTAATTCATAAATTCCATATTTGGACTATTTCTGTATGGTCCAATAACTATTTTGACAAAGGACTTAATTTGCTATTCTCAGGAATTTATCAATTTATTTGTCTCAATTTTCACAGCTGGTATGATGTCACTAGCATAATCCCCCTATTCCTCAATAGCCCTTTCATATAAAATTTTAACTCTATAGAGTTGGCAATGGTTAGGGCGGTATTGTAATCAAAACACGTGTAGCAAATCTCTCACATTATGAAATCTGGATTCATGGAATTAGAGTTAGCACGGCCAGTTGCCAGTTCCCTTTAGCCATAATCTCTTTTTATACAGAATACCTGAGAACCAAATTTCACTCAATGCAAATAGCTGTTTAAAATATATTTTCAGTTTTTGAATTTGGTGACACCTCTTCAGTTAAACTTCCTGGTTACCAATAACCACACCTAGGTTTGGAGTCTAACCTCAAATGCTGGTCAGTGATGACTGCTTCTCAGTTAAAGAGGCCTTCTTGCTGAGCAGCTGTTACATAGGTTATTAGGGCATCGTTAGAACGTCTCACTGTTTATAGGCTGTCAATAGGTACTGCTTATCATATAACTAACTTTTGGGGCACTAGAACACACCAGAACTAAGAATTATTTTGTCTTACACTGTCTTTATACATATAAAATCAAGAATCCTCTCTAGAATACATAGGCATCTTGTCTGAAATGCCTGTACTTCACCCAAACAGGCCATGTAAATATTAGCTTTTTATAAATATTGTAAAGTAGAAAATAAATATAGCTATACATATTTCTCTAAATTAAAAATATAATTGCTGCTAAAAATAGATTGCTGTTACACATGAGGAAAATTGGTGCCGCTTTAAAAAATGAGATCTTGGACCATAAATACAGCTGAACTAGATATAACAGTTAGTTCACAAATTAATGCTGTCAAAGGAATGAGTAATTTAACCAATCACACTTCATCCTAAATTATGTGGTGTGATCAAACACAATCACCTGGAATTTTTTATATTTTTCTGTATACAGAGATTATGGTGTTTTTTTTCTTTTTCTTTTCTTTTTTTTTTTTTTAAAGAGAACATTTGAAATCCCACAGTTTGACACTTTCTATCAATCCTCGCTGGACTAAGATTACTGTCCTCAGAAATCTTGCAAGTTTCTTTAAATTACTTACCACAGCAGAGAAACTGGATTGTTTTTGTATATAGCACTGTATCCACTTGAAATACAGTCACAGTGCTTGTGTGTGTGTGTGTGTGTGTGTGTGTGTGTGTGTGTGTGTGTGTAGGTATCTTGTGTATGACACTCTGAGAGTTAATGATGCATGAACTTATTTTATAAACTCTTAGACTATGTATTTGACTGATAAAATATGTACAGTACTAATGTCAGCCATATCTTAAAAGCGAGCCAATAAATATTATATATAATTTTCTTTGGTCAGAAACAGTTGGACGAAGCAGTGCCATTCGAGTCAGTTTTCTTCATTGCCATTTAGCAAACAACTGTCTTTAGTCTATGCAATTAGCAGAAATTTATATAATGCAGTGGGATATTTATCGTTGTCACACTCTAAATCTCAAAAGAGGAGTTCTTCACTATTCTTCTAGAACTCCATCTAGCAAAATTAGAGAAAGGGCCCTAAGGATTTATTTTTGTTCAGAGAAAAAGCCTGCATTTTCAGGTAAAACAGATGGGTTTACTCCAAACAATAAAACCTGTCTACTATCTCAGCCCTCTGGAGAGGGTTGGGAGTGTCATTTGTGTTTTCTGGGGGTTAGCTGGATACAATTGGACAGCTACAATTTTCAGTCCCATGTGCCTCCTGAATAAAATTACGAGTTTGCAAACTGACTTGCAGGCACAAAGCAGCAACTATCCTTCATGTTGTTGGGCTTTCCCCCCCCCCCCTTCTTTTCTTTTTCTTGGTAAGCGGAAACATTTTCCAACCAGACTAATGCCATTTAGTTTTCCAGTGTTGATCACACATTTGTATAAAGCATCAAACCTGAAGGGAACTAATTGTTGTATATGCTTGCATTTCTTTGCGTGGTCTCATTTGAGATAATTGGTGTAAGTATCTTGACTTTTAACATTCAGAAATATCAAATAAAATAGAAATAAATTAAAAAGAAAAATAGTTAAAAAAATCTCGCTAAACTAAACCTCTAAAGTGTTTCTTACTTACCTGTTCTGGGCTTGTGATATTTCAGTATCCCCATGACTGGTTTCATTTCATCTGCTTTGTGAAGTAAATTTCAAATAAATTTCAAGTAAATCCACACAGTTTTGGCTTATTTATTTATTTATTTATTTATTTTATTTGTACTTTTTTTCATTGCAATGATATGAAGTTTAAAAGTTTATAAGCAATATATAATTGGAATTAGAAGAGTTAGTAAGCTAATTTTGATGTTAGAATTTTGGAGCTGTGTTATAGCCTAGCTATAGTGAAATAGGTTTATACTAAGACTGAGAATGAAAAAATAGAGCAGGAAGAAAAGTAACTTCCTGTGTGAAGGGAGAATGACAATTGAAAATTTCTTGGTTGGCAAATGGATTATGAGAGTAATCCATAAATCAACTATGTGGATAAAGTTGGGCAAGCTCAGTAACAGTTGAGAGTTAACAGAAAAACCACCAACCCCAACGGTCTCAAAGTGGTTTTTAATCTTGTTTTGTAATTTTCTTTACTGGACCAAATAGTTAGGTTCTGTGAATCATATTATTAAAAGATGGTAACTATCATATTTGACATTTTGTAGTTGAAAGATTAATCAGGTCATTCATGTTAAAAAAATGTAGCCTCAACATGTGCACCATTACAAAACCAATACTTAGATTACTGTTGTATTTTATATCTGCCTTCCTACGCAGTTTCTTACAAAAGTGAGCTATTTAGGCATTAAATTTAAATTTGAAAACACTTTATAAATGATTCTAGGAGTTGATTAGGGGCCACATCTATCAATATATTTGCATATACAGTATATGTGCAAGTAGGTAAGATTGTCATTGTAAGAATGTGTGTACATCTTTGTAAGAATGTTCTGGCTTGAACAGGGAAGAACTAGTCTGAAAAATTAAGCAAACTACAATAATCAGATTCTTTTAAAAATATTTATTTATTTATTTATTTATTGATTAATTGATTGATTATGGTATCACATAATTGTCCTCATCCCCTTATTCCTATCCCAACCCCATCCCTACATATGCCCCCATCCCCTGGTTGTACATGGCCACTGGCCAGGCCCATATGCATGCACACAAGTCCTTTGGTTGATCCCTCCCCCTTACTCCTACCCTACCCTACTTTCCCTCTGAGGTTTAGAGACTGATCACTGCTTCTCTTTCTCTGGGTCTGTTTTTGTTCATCAGTCTATGTTGTTCATTATTTCCTCTAGATGTGTGAGATCATGTGATCCAAGAAATACCCTTGTAAGAACCTAAATTGAGACAAGCCATAATGGTTATGCTGAGAGGCAAATGAGTCAGTCTGTAGTGGGTTCCTTTCTGAGCTAGCAGTTCTTTTGAGTCCTAATTTCAATGTAAAATAGTTCCTTATGTGTACATGTCAGCCATATTTCAGATCTGATTAGTGGACAAATAGTTTTGATTTTAAATGGTTTTAAAATCAATTGAGCCATACTAATCTTCTCTTGCTTTATTACCTGTTAATGTAGAATTTCTTCTGAGGCCAAAGCAGAGTCAACATGTCTCCTGTTTCACGTGACTTTTTGTTGTTGCTATTGATAGTTTGTATTTAAAATATCAAACTTGGATTCACTGAGTAGACTAACTCCAGGACAATCACCTACAATTCTCTTTCTTTTCAAAGAGCTTCAGCTTTTCTATAACATCTTAACATGGGTTGCTCCAAAGTCAAACAATATTTTGGAAGTCATGTGACCAGCTTGAAATAGAATTATTCATACAGCCTAAAATGGCACTAGCATTTTGTTGATTTTTTGACTCCTATTAATCTCAATTTCATCTGTATTTTACTTTTCATAGAACTTGGCACACAAACAGGCACTTATTCTGTCATAAAATCTTCTTTTTATTAATGTGTCACATGTGGACTTAATGAGCATGTTGTCTAGATCTTCATTGATATCTGATCCAATGGGTCAATAGAATGGGAAGCTCTGAGGTTGGAGTTCAGGCATTTTTAAGATCCCCGGGTGATTCCAGTGAGCAATTAGGATTAAGAATCACTGATGTAAGTTATTAATGAAAATATTGTGTACAACATAGTCAAAGACAGAGCCATGTGCCTCATCACTAGATACTTTCTGACAAGTTGCCACTGGGCCATTAATCATTACATCCCATTGATTTTACTACTATACTTCACGATTCTCAATTAACTCCTTGCTGTCAACCCATTTTTTTTGTTTGAATATGTTATATCTCTCTATCCTAAAAAGCAGAAGCCTTTTAAAAAATTAATATATTACAGAACTGATTTAGACAACTTCTATATTGAAGCAGAATGGTAGAATGAATAATTGAACTTTGAAGATTCCTTTCCAAGTCATGTTTCTATGATTTTTGCAAACCACTTAGTCCCATGTTGCGATATTTTAAACACTCTTGTAAACCAAATGCCACAAAAATGCCATTGTTCTAAGCAAGACATTTTTGAGGTTAGAAGCACAAATGGCCTGAACTTCTTCATGATGTTTTGCAGAAGAAACATTGTTCAGACTTTTCTAGGTGAGAAAATAAGCTAAAGGAGTGTTTAATTTTTTTCTTCTCTTTTACTCTCTAATAAAGTTAATAAACTGCATGTAGATATGGTGCTATAAAATGTGAAAGATTTATATTTATCTTAGTGCCAATCTTTAGCAAAAGCACTTTTCTAGGTATGTACTAGAAATTACTAGTTTGTATTGTGAATTACTAATAATTATATCAGCTCATATTCTGTTCTGATAAGTAGAATTGCTTTTCCACTATGTATTAGTTTTTATTTTTTTTCTAAATGGTTTTCTCTGTCTTGTACTGAATAATTAATGTTTATCATTTTTAAAAAAATGCCTTTAGAGACTTAAAAAAGCAGAGAGCCCTAATCAGTTTGGTTCAGTGGATAGATTGTTGGACTACGAACTGAAAGGTCCCAGGCTCAATTCTGGTCAAGGGCATGTACTTTGGTTGTGGGCATATCCCTAGTGGCAGATGTGTAGGAGGCAGATGATTGATGTTTCTCTCTCATTGATGTTTCTAACTCTCTATCCCTTTCCCTTCCCCTCTGTAAAAAATCAATAAAATATATTTTAAAAAGAAGCATAGACAGGTCTCCACCTTTGCAGAAACTTGCTATCCCCTTGGGATTTTTATATTATTTTATATGCATAAGTGAAATGACAGAATAAGAATTTGTAATATTATGTATGAAAATGAGTGATGTTAAACTAGTAATTAACATTTTTATTGTATTTGAATTTAAAGGACAATTTTCTAATAAGAGATGAATTCTTTTCTTTAATTTGTTTAATTGGTTATATATATATTGTTGTTAAAGTATTACATACTAGTATGTTTCCTTCCCCCCCCTCCCCCCAATCAGCCCCTACCCGGCTACTCCCATCCCCAATAAATATATATTCTTAATGACAATGAATATCTTTGAAAAATATGAGTGGTAAACTACCATGTGCATGTGTATAGTATAAAAATGATCTAACTGGGGTTGGAAACTCCACTCCACTTTTTTCCCACTGCACTTGGATCCCTGTCTGGATTTGGGGTACCATTTGGTTACTCAAAAAGCCACGTGCCAGTCACCTTAAGCCCATATAAACCTAAACTGACCGAATAAAATTATGAATTCACTCAAAAGTACTTCTGGGACATACTGAAATTGAATGTTTTGAGTATAAAAGGCAGTTAAATTTTATATAAATCAAATATAGATTTATATATGTAATTATTAAAAACCAATACTTAAAATATTTTGATACTAGGGGATAGTTCTGAATTTATGTTTTATGAACAAATAACTATAAATAAAATGCTGAAACCATACAGGTCTTATATGTATTGCCTGTGAAAATATTCAGTATTTTTCATTTAAAAGAAAGGTTTTTTTCCCCCTTTTCTCCCCATTTCTTTTCTTCACTGTGTCATGCTCCCCCTTGCCTCCACATGCCTATTGAACTTCCTCCAACTTAATTCTTGATTCAGTCTTTTTATTAGGCAGAGCTTAAATTGAAAATGCATGATATTTCTTTTCATCCAATGTACTTTTCTAAGGATTGAAGGAGAAGAAATGTAGAAAAATATGTTCAGCTGAATCCAGGACACTTTGTGTTTGTTGTCGAAGTCTAAGTGTCAGGCATTTCAATATTTCACTTGTGACATTGATGCAGGTTCATGGGTGTGGGCCTGCTGGTTTGCCCTGAAGGATGTCCCGGATCAGGGTATGGGTTCCCTTGGGGTGTGGGGTGGCCTGGGCGAGGGGCCTGTGGTAGTTTGCAGGCTGGCCAAACCCCTTGTGACCCAAGTGGAGGCCCTGGTATCTGGGTTCTATTTATCTAGTCTAGTGGTGAAATCAAGTATCTCCAAAGATTCATAATCTATAGGAGACAAATGGGACTTTTTTGGATTTGTACTAATTTAATTGAATTATTTACATGGACTTTTAAAATATACGTGAAACCTCTCTTTTGAGTGTATCTAAACTCTTATAGGACATCTACTTCTTGAAGTTGGTCCACAGGACTTAGACCAGCATCTTTGGCCTCCCTGGGAGTTTGTTGGAGATGCAGAATCTCAGGACTCACCACAAAACTACTAAATCATAATCCACATTTGAACAACCTCCCCAAATGATTCATATACAAATGTTTGTGAATGAAACATTTGAATTTCATAAACACTGGATCCTTCCACTATTCTTGCTTTAGTTAGGAGTGCCCTAAAGCAAACAGGTGAGGAAGAAAACAATATTTAATGATCAAGTACAGTATTAGTGCTTTTTATGCATTATCTCACCTGATCTTCACAAATCTGGTAGATATTATCAGTCACATTTTACAGATGGGGACTAAGAGATTTTCCCCCTCAAAGTCACTTAGTTAATAAAATGTGGAGTCGCCTTTCAGATTCAGGACTCCAAGCCTTCACGTTTTCCCAACACTCAATGATCTCCTGGGACAATTGGCATTTACCCAAGTATTTATTAACTGGGTTTGTTGTTTAATGGTGAATATGACTTAGCTATACTTTTTTGGAAAATGTCCTCAAGAAGTTCTCCAGTCTTTCCTGAAATAAGAGTTGCAGGGAGTATCTTTCTTCTTAATCTATGCACCTCAAATTTGAGAATTGATTTGTCATTTTCCATATGTAACTGTTTTCTTCCATACCTCCCTCATTTCCTTCCTTCTTTTCTTTTCTCTCTTCCTCTTTCCCTTTCTCCCTCTTTTCCCCATTCTTTTCTTTCCTCCTCTTGTTCTCTGCCATTTTTTTCTTCTTTATAATAATTTTTGTCTAATTAGGATATATTGAAAGTATTTTAGATTATCATTTTGCAACAGAAACTTGACATATTTCAATGGCATTTTCAGGGAAACTGTGGGGCTTTCATAAATGATAAATCCAGTCTGAATTCAAGGTGTGGAGGGTGTAGAATGCTATGAGTTCTATAGGCTGTGATAAGCTCCTTCCTCAATTCCATGCCAATGGTAAGTGAAGTGCTATCAACTAACGCTATTTATGAATGGACTATATCATACCATATCTTACTTCCCATATCTACCCAGTTGCCTTATACTTTCCTATTTCCAAGATCTTGCCTATCAGCAAGGAAATCTTCCTCCCATTGAACTGTTAGAAATTAAGTATTACCCTCCTTTGGGTATTTGAATGATCATGGAGATCAGAGGCCAGAGACAGTGTTGGACTCAAAGAGTTGGCCTGAAAGTGATGCATCTGCACCCCCACTCCTATTCCATGGGTTAGCACATTGCTGGGCGTATAATAGGTGTGTACATTTTTGGTAGAGGGCTTCTCTGAGTCATTGCTATAGTCTACTTTTTTATTTTATTTTATTTTGATTTTTTTTATAGAGAGGGAGATGAATAGAGAGTTAGAAACATCGATGAGAGAGAATCATCAATCAGCTGCCTTTTGCACATGTGCCCACAACCAAGGTACATGCCTTTGACCAGAATCAAACCTGGGACCTTTCAGTCTGCAGGCCGGCGCTCTATCCACTGAGCCAAACTGGTTTTGGCTATAGTCTACTTCTTATTTGTTCATTTATTCATGTATTTATTTAACAACCATAGTTATCATTAGAAATTAAGAAGTGTTATTACAAATTAAATTATTAAGAACAACAATTATTCAAGAATTGCCATGTACCTGGCACAGGGTTGAGGTACATAGATGTGGACAAGACTCACTGGTATTTGTCTTCAAGGAGCTCACAGTCCAGTGGGGCCACTTCTTCAGGTTCAGAATCAGATAATCTCCCAGAAGCCCAAGGGCATGCCGGGAGCCAAGCCTCTGGTGTGGTGTCCGCCATGCTTTCAAACTTTCTGGGTGTCACTTTCTCTACTGATGCTCTAGGCAAGTCATTTCACTGGAAAGGAGGATTGTGGGAGAATATCTAAAATGGGTTCGAAGTAAACAATAACTATTGGGCGAACACCAATGTCTCGAAAAGGCCCTTAGCTTTCATCTTCTCTGCACCCTTCAATCCTAGTTCTATTTGTAGTGCCACCGGTGATTCTCAGTGGGAAGCACAGAGCAGTCTTCCGTTCTCATGAAATGCCTCGTGATTCTGTTCTTCCAAACCCACCAACCTCTCTGACTTCTTCCTCCCTGAAACCAAACACTTGCATAGGGGTCTGGATGGACTTCATTTCCGAAACTTGCTTTTGATGATGGAAATGAGGAGGAAGAATGTGGTTGAGGAATGCAATGGAGAGGAGGAATAGGAAGGAAGTCAGATGAGATGGTGGGCAAGGTGTGGTTGCTGCAGCCAGAAGTCCCTCACTCATTCATGTGTTCATTTATTCATTTAGGAAAAAGGAGGAAGAATCTGGTCTGCTTTGTTGCAGAGCAGCTTTGTACACTCACTGTTACTCATAGCTGGCTGGCCCAGGGGTGCTTGGGTGGACCATGAACTATTAAATAAATGAATGCCCACTGCAACTTGCCCTGGAGCCTGGTACTTACAATTGCTCCTGTGAGAAGCAGCTTGGTTATAAATCTGCTCAGCAACTTAGAGCATCTGTTCTAGTGAATTTTGTGAATCCCATTTGAAGTCACTGTGCATTTTCTCTGTTCACATCAAGGCAGCCTTGCTCTGCTCAGCATGCATAAGAGCTTCTTGAATCTCTGTGTCAGCTCTTACAAAAGACAACTGTGTACTTTTGTGTATGTCATTAGGGAGCCCCACTGCCATTTCCCCAAAGCAAAGTTAGAGTAGTCTTTGTTTTCACTTAAGATTTATTCTAAGCAAAACCTTCAAATTTGGTGAAAATTCATTAAACCCTTTGTGTCTGATGTGATCACAAAAAAAATAAAAGAATGACACTTCAGTTTATTTGTAAATTACTATTATACTTATTGTGTTTTAATGATAGAAGATGCCTTGAAGCCTCTCTCCCCACCAACTCCATGAGAGAATTTTCCTCCTGTGTCTCCCCATCCAGCCCTAGATTCTTCCCTCTCAACACCTTGACTCCCAAACAAAAATCACCCAATAAACAACAAAAATCCAGGTGGTGGGGATTTGTCTGAATTGATATTTTTTACTCAACTTAGGATCAGAAGAGGCTGGAGACCATGAAAAGCTAGGAATGTTTTAGGGTGACATCTTTATGAGTTGGCCAGGGGTCCCAGTTGTCTCAGAAGGTGGGGGCTCAGGGCTGCACTTCCCATCTGATCCCCAGGGGGTCAGGAGAACATTTCATGTTACCCCAGAGCTGGTGTTATTTGTGTAGAACCTTAGTGTCAGATTAGACTATTTGTAGTGTGTTATTCTAACCCTCAGCCCTTTGGGAAATTCTTTATGGGTGTCTTTCCTCGTTAACTGGACTTTTCCAATGTGCGTTTGTTATTGTCATAAACACTGAGGTCCTGCCTGAAATTTGGCTCAGTTCCCAGACTGCACAGCAGCGTGAACATGGTCTAATTTTTAGTCCTAATAAACAAAAGCAGGTCGTATGCACTAAGTTGTCCAAAGACTCAGCTGTAGTTTGGGAAACTGGCCTGAGCAAGCTAGCCTCACATTAATGTAAAGAAATGCCTGCCCCTGGACATTCAAGATCTCTAGAGCCTAGAATGAGATGGGCCAGTGGACCACAGCTCAGGGCCTGCTACCAATCAGTTGGCTGAGCTACAAGAAGGAGGCACAGAGGAGCTTTGACAAAGTAGTAATAAGAGGCAAACAAATCATTAGGGATGCTCTATAAAGGTCCCACTGAAATACAACCTTTGCTTTTTTTCTTTTCTTTCTTTTTTTGCATGCCTTCATTTTGTTTTACCTTTTATCTGAAGGCATATTCTAGTTCTCTCTCTGTATAATTTAAGAGTATTTTCAATCCTTTTTCGGATGTCAGAAAATAAAAGTTAACATTTTATCTAGAACTATTTAAAAGTCTTTATATATTGCATGAATCTAAACACCCAGGAGGAAAAAAACCTGTGATTAAATTAACCTCAGAGGGAAATGTAATTTGTTCCCCTGATAATTGCCCCAAATTGGTTCTTTGTGGATAAATTACTATTTATAGGCTATTTACTAGCTCTAGAACAGTCTTTCAGATGCTGGAAACTATACCCTGGTCTGAGGGTAGAAAAGAGAACAAGGTTTATGATCATAGCACTGATCACTTTGTTAAATTGTGTCATCAGTTTACAAGATGATGGTCTGCTCATTCCTGCCTTATTCCCCACACATATAACTTGTGCCAGGGAGACTTTGTTTATTCATACCTGCAGTCCTGGCTCAAGGACATGGTGCGTGATGCATAGCAGACCCTCAGTTGAATGAGTAGGTGACCGCAGGGGGAAATGTGTCCTCTGCTTTTCCCTCCCACAAATGTTTTTGTTCATGGTGGAGAGCCCAGGCTCAGGAGAATGCTACCATGGTCATGGTTGTAGCCAATGTTGATTGGCAGCTTTCTGTAAAACCTCTTCTGTGGCTTGCCCCTCTTTCAACAGTGCTCATAGAGAACCACTATCTTCTCTTCTTGGTTCCCAAAGCTGAATGCAATGGACTCCGGACTGGGCACCATTTGACAAAGCTGAGAAGCTGTGGTTCTGCCTGGTATCAGTGAGGTGCCAGACGCCGAATCTCCAGACCCATTTGCCCCATACATCATTCTTTTGGAATCTTTACATAAACATGGGTATTTCACATATTTCCTAAGTGGTGCAAATGCCTTTAGGCCACTTCCTTTTTTATGCAAGTTGTCTGTGGACAGTTTCTTTTTGGTTTTTGTTTTGTGGTTTAGCGGTAATCTCTCCTTAAGAGTCACGACTGCTTTTCTCTCTGGAATTCAGTTTGTACCATAACAGTATGATATCTGCCTGCTCTTATGACAAGAAAACTAGGCTTCCTCTACCCCACCATCCAAACTCCTTTTTATAGTTGTTAGGACATAAACATGTTTCATCAAATGTGGAAAGATCGTTTGATAGTGCTCAGACCGTGGTACTCATTGTGAAAGCTCCTGGGGTTTGGCCTGTGGGATTCACAGATGCAGGCAGTGTCCCCAGACAACCACTGAACACACGCATTTACGCTTAGCCTTCTGTGACTCATCCTTTAAGGCAAATAACAGATAAAAATAAACTGTTATATAAAAACGTAAGCAGATCTTATATATATTACTAGTGTCCTTACCTGGTGTTTGGTTGGTTGGGAGTAAAAGAAAAATCAATTCAAATGGACTTAGACTAGAAAAGAAATGACAATGTAACTAAAAAGTGCGGGGATAGGGCTATGTTCAGGAGAGGCTTGGCCTACTTTCTCTCTGCATTTTCTCAGCCCTGTGTCTGCAGTGTAGAGTTTATTCTTGACAGCAACCCCTCTCAGGACCCCAAAATGTTATCAGTGACCCCTAGTGCTACTCCAGAAAGCCTTATATCTCCAACAAATCCCCAGAATTGACATGGGCCATGTGCTAATCCCTGAATTTTAAAATTGTAATTAGGAGGATAGGCCATGTGGTTGGTTTAAACTAATCTGGGCTTGACCTTGGAGTTATGGACAAGAGTTGAATCCATCCAGACTACAGGACTAAGCAAGTTGGAGCCCTGTTAGCAGGTAGTCAAATAGCTGTTAAACCTGTCATTCAAACAGGACTGGATGTGCAGCACTGATGTAGGTTTCTGACGTTCATTGTTTGGAGCTGGTGTGTCTTGTGTCTCCAAATATTAGGGCTAGTTTCAATATCTGGTTGTGGTGGCCGTTAGTCATGTCCATTAGTATTTCTGTCTTTCTGCCATTTGGGTATATGGTGATTCTTTCTGGTCAGGGAGTTGTAAGCTTTTGGATTAAAGTGTTAAGTTGTGGATGTGAGGCCCTCCAGAGCGCTCTCTTTCCCCATGATACTGCAATTTGAAGCATGTGAAAAGGTGTCTGGTCCATTGAGAGTAACTGTGATGAGCAGCATCTCCCTGCTGGCTCATGTTGGATGTAGTAGCATGAGCAAGAAGCAAACGCTTACTCTGTTAAACCATGAGGATTCTGGAGTTGTTTGTTACTGTGGCATACCCAGTTTATCCTGCCTCATACATTGGATTGCTTAAATTCATTTATATTATTTAAGGGTTGCTCACAAACCCCCTATATTTGTTGAATTCTTTCAATTTAGCAAAAATGCTTTCACATCTATGATCTTCTCCACAGTAGTCCTATATATACATTAGATGAAAAGTATTAGCTTCATTTTGCCAGTGGAAGAATTGAGGCAAACTCCTCAAATGTTCTATTTACAGTGTTTGTTTTTTTCTAGTTGTTTTGTTTTCTTAAGCAATACAATTACACAATCAAACTGTACAGTAAAGAATCATGTTGCTTATTTTATTAATATTTTTATTTGATGGTTCACCTCTGAAAAATTTTGTTGTATTTTCCCTCCACACCAAGCAGTCAGTGTTGCAAATGTAAAAGACTTTGGCCATTGCTGCTTCTGTTGGAAAGCTTAACTAAGGAAGTGTCTAGCTATACAGTTTGCCTGCACTGAGCAGTGTCAGGAGCAAAGAGAAACACTCTTGAGGGGGTTGAGAGGGAATACAAAGAAGCTGTAATCATACATCAGACAATGGAGAACCAGGACTCTTACTGAGCAGGATGATTCTTACTGAGAGGAAAAGGTAGATAAACAGGGTTTCCCTTGGCCAGAAAGTGGCAGAAGACTAGCAATACTGAGTGGAGGAGAGAGCAGGGGCTGATTGCTCTGAAAGCAGAGGAGACATCTGCTGTGCACGGAATTGGGAGAGCATTAGGATGAAGAGAGTAGGCTCTGGAAGCAGAGTGCTTGGATTCAAATCCTGGTTCCTCTACTTATCAGCTGTGTAACCTTGCACAAATTACTTGATCTCTCTGACCTTGGATTCCCCTTATATGTAATTGGGATATCAGTACCTATTTCATAAGGATATTGTGAGGATAAAATGAGTTGAGAAATGTAAAGGTCTTAGAACAGTACACATAGTAAAAGCTTGATGTTTATTTTATTTATATAATAAAAGGGTAATATGCAAATAAACTGAACATCAGAATGACCAGAACACCTGTAGCCCCTTGCCTTGCTGGGCCTCACCCTCCACTGGTCCCCCCCCACCCCGATCGGGGTTGGGGCTGGCAGGCAAAACACCCGCAGCAGTCCTTCACCCTGGCTTGCCCAGCCTCTGATGGCCCCCATCGGGGTGGGCCGGCTGGACCCACCAGTGCACAAATTCGTGCCCTGGGCCTCTAGCCAATAACAACAACAACAACAGTCCTATCTGGTTTGGCCCAGTGGATAGACACTATTGGCCTTCAGACTGAAGGGTCCTGGGTTCAATTACAGTCAAAGGCACATGCCTGGGTTGTAGGCTTGATCCCCAGTAGGGGGTGTGCAGGAAGAAGCTGATCAATGATTCTCATCATTGATGTTTCTATCTCTCTCCCTCTCCCTCTTCCTCCCTTTCTGAAATCAATAAAAAATTTAATATAATAATAAATAATAAATTTGTTGCCACCCTTTCTGCCACCATGTTGGTACAAACCACACATGATCTTTCACTTATCCTAATTCAAAGACCTCTTCATTGGTCTTCACATCTATTCTTGTGTCATTTCCAATCTGTTCTCTACCTGGTAGCGAGGTTACTGTTTTAAAATTAAAATTCATGAAGTTACTTCTTTGCTTAAAACCTTTCAGTAATTCCCTTTTTACTTATACTTTTAGTCTTTATCATAAAGTATAGCTTCCAAGGAACTTGTTTCTCTGCCTCAGTTTGTGCTGACATCCATAGTAGATCCTCAAGTGTGCCATCCTCTGCTAGCCTCAGGGCCTTTAGACTAATATACTTTAGAGGAGCAATGCCATTTCCTTATCTTGGTGTTGTTTTTCAGCTGGAGGAGTCCCTACTGGGGTGATACTTCTCTTTCCACCTCTACTCACTCTGCCCCATGGGAGGTGGAGTCATGTGTCAATCTCAGAGGAATACCTGGGCCTCCTGAATTTAACTCTGCCCTCTTCCTTTCAGAGGTGAGCTTCCTATAGGGAGCAGGCCGTCTCTGATGTTCCTCTAGCAGTGGGCTCTTTCCCTCTACCTA